TTTTATTTATAATACTATTCTAAAACATGGCTTACTATCTCTTAACTGCAAGACAAATATGGCTCTTTATTTCCATGTCTTCTACATAGATCATCAAGGATGGTGTGCTCTTTTTGCTTGGAACAAGTAGTTTTAGCTTCAGTCTTTTAGTATTAAATCATGTCTGAAGCCATTGTATTTTACATGGTTTTCATTTTTAGTGTCGATGAGTTAACACTAGTTAACTCCAACGAATAAAATCTGCCTTTTTCAACCAACAAAAAAAGCTTGTATATGAGAAGCCTGCTTTTATTTACCTCTACGTGAAACTGAAATCCAATTGTTATATTTCAGGTGGTAAATCTGCCACTGTTATCACTGTAAATGGCATATGTGCTGCGCTAGCAGGGAAAACTAACAATAGGGAGGCAGGGCTTAACAAACTGTCAGTTATTTTAATAATCTGCTTTTCGAGAAATCAGCTTCATGATTGTCATTGTCAAGTTTTGGAACGGGGCCACTAAGTGGTGCTCTATCCCTGCACTGTATGGGTTGACCTCATGGTTGCAGAGGTCATGCCGTCACGTGTTGGGTTAGGGTTGGGCCAGGTGCTCCAGTGCCTCTCCCTCGCAGCGCATACAGTGGTAGCCCATGTTAGCCGTAATATCGAAGCAGCCCTGGCTGTGATAAAAGTCCATTGATGATTTGTTCCAGTCCAGGACGGTGAAGTTGAGCTGGTTGCAGCCGGCAGCCAGACCCAGCTACAGGGCAGCGAAATTAAGCATAAAGACAGACATGAGTACTGCTGTGCTGACATAAGTTATGGAAATGGAAATGGAAATTGTAAGGTATGCAAGCTCCAAGACATACATTATTTTGAATTTTCACTAGCAAACAAATACAGTATATCTTTGTACAAAGAGAGAAACGGCCAGAGGTATAACATCTACAATAAATTTCCATTTCTTAACTGTTAAGTAATGGGTTGATGTTTTACTCACCTGTGCTACCTTGCTCATAAGTGCTTTACCAATCCCCTTCCCTGAAAGACAGACACTGCATGTTACTCAAGATTTCCAGCAGATACAGACATGCTTTTTTCACATTGTGGCTGATTTCTTTCCATGCTATATTCACAAATTATATTTTGGCCATAGCAACACGTACATTTCTGAGACAGTGTACTGTACCTCTGAACTCAGGCATCACATACAAGTCCTCCATATAAATGGCTCTGCCCATCCATGAGCTGTAGGAATAGAAGTAAAGTGCATAGCCTATCTTCGTATGGCCTGAAAGCAAAAAGTTAGAAATGTGAGAAATCAATGCGCCAGATGATTTTTGCATTACTTTTTGTGTCGTTGTTTGCACTATATCATGGTATTTGTCATGGGATTGGATTTCTCTGGAAGCACTGATACCACATTAAGCCAGTAAGTCAGCTTAGCTCCCAGCCGCCGTTATTCATACTCTTTCATAAAAATGTCTAAATTCTTGTCGACCCCTACCCACCCGACCCCCAGGTCAATGTGTGGACTGATCACTATAATGCACACTCTCTGTGCAGGTGCAGACAAGGATTTTCTGTCTCTAAGCATATACTTCCTTTACAGACAATCGGCAGAGGCCAGGTCTCCTCATGAAATGACGTCATAAAAATTTTACTTAATTCTCTGTGTATTCGTCATCAGGAGCTACTACTATTACATTACATGTTGTCATTTGACCCATTGTTGATATAAAGATATTGACTTGTGCAGCTTTATAAAGGTATTTGGAACATATGCTGTGCTGCAGAAGGAATTTAGTTCATTCTTGTTGTTCGTCTTGCTATAACTTGTTCATTGCTGCTATCAGCTAGATTTCAGGACGGTAACCACAAGCTGGCATCACAGATTCTTCATTTGTTCTTCAGTTCTGTGTGGTTATTAGACTGATTATAGGTGCCACGGTAATCAGTATGCTGTCAGGCAAATATACGTTGGTGGAAAAGCTGTTTGGCTATAAGTGTGCTCGGTTATCAGAGTCATAGGATATCCAGGGCTAGTATTTAAAACACAAAGACATAGGCAGCCACTCCTCAGTATGGAGTCAGATATCTGAGGCCAGTGGAGAGTGGACAGTGGTGACTGTATGGAAAAAGGGCTGTGTCATGGAAGAAAAAGGCCCAGCTGGGCAGCAGAGCGTATGTTAATGTTCTCATTACTATATTATATTCTGAGGGAAAACAGTGTGTTATCCTTGTTATGTAAGAGGTGTGTAAGGAGAGCGGACACATCAGCAGGATGCCATTACATTAGGTAACAGAGCTAATAAATATGGGCTGATGAACCTGGTGACTGATGACGAAGTGTAAAATGCAGCTGCTCTGAGGGATGTGTTGCATCATTGCCCATAAACTGTTAAAATATGGAAACACTGGGAATCAATCAACATTTCTTTAATTTCTTACACCTGTGCTTATTCTAACTCAGCACTTCAAGAATAGTAGACACACAAATTAGCTTAAAGATGCTCTAATTAATATATGCATAGTGATAACTGATACAAATGACTGCATGTAGTGTGAAACAGGCCACTCATAGTGACAAACCCACAGAGGCTGACTCTCAACTCTTAGTGCATCTTTCAGTGAATTGTTTGTGATTTGTGATTTTACTGTTCTGGTTCACTCTCCCCACTGCTGTTTGCAGATGCAGGCAGATGTTTTCTTTTATAAGCCACTGTACACTACCTGTTCTGCACCAAACAGCATAGAAATAGCAATCACTAGTGGAAATAGGGGAACATTTATTTGCTAAAGAACCAGATATTCCCCTCAGTAATTGGTGGAGACCAAAAACAGAGCTAAAAGAGAGTTTACATTCAGAGAACAAGTTTAAATTCAGTGTAGTGCAGGCCTAGAAGAAGGACATAAAGATAGACCCCTTCACATAGATATGTAGCAGCAAGAGCTTTGTGAGTGTTGAAAACTCAGAGAGAAGGAAGTAAAGTGGACTTTTGGCCTCACAGTGAAAAACACTTCAAAAGCTGTCCAGTCTTGTCATGTTATGATGTTTTAGGGAGTGCTGAAACAAGATCTTCCAGCAACCTTTGTATTGCCCTGTGTGCCAATCCTGAGCAAATTGCTCCTTTAAGAACTACTAGTACATTACATCTGTCTCTCCTCTTGATTTCATAATAACAAACTAATCTCCAAGTAGTAAGTCCACAATCCACATTTATCCTTGTGAGCTAGGCCTTCTATTAAGCCAGTGTTTAGGTTAAGAACACGACAAGATATTAGTATTTCCATCTGGATTTTAGATTTATGGTTTAACTACATGTGCCACTTAAAGCATTGGCTAATGGCCTTTTAATTTAAAATGTTATATTTTATTACAGAAACTGAAAGGTTAATCAGCTGAATTGTACAGTAGAGAAAAAATGCTGTTGCACTGCAATTTATTTCCGGGCTGACACGTTGAAAAGAATGTCGTACTACTGGCCACAGTCCAAACAGTAAGGTTACAACAAGTGTTTTACTTCCTGTTGTTACATCACTAACCAGAGAGGCCTGAAGGACAACATGCTTGATAAAGTATCACAGGAGCTGATTTCTATCTTCTAATGTGGTTTTAAGACAGAGATTCTTGGTCTTGAGAGGATCTTGGTAGTTTGTATGAATAATAAAAATGCGTACAACTCTATCACTCACACATACACACGACTGCCTGCTACTTTCACACTTGGAAGTGAAATAAACAGTGTTAATGACGGGATTCTCACCTTCTTTGGTTTTGTGCTGTTCTGGCACCTCAGCGATGATCCCGTGGAAGAACGGGTTCTTGGAGAAGCCGTCCTGCTCCAAATCTGCACATACAATACAAACACGCTGTTAAGTTACAGTTACTGTTAGGTGGAATGGTCCCTTTCAGATAATTATATTATTGTAATACTATTACTGATGCACATTTTAACCACTTTATATACTGTTGGATGGTTGAATAAATTGATAATGTGTTTTGTTTCTAAATTCTAAATACAATATTTCCCTCTGAAATATGGTGGACAACAACAGGAAGTCCATGAGATTGTGTTATATGATCAAAAGCTCCAGCACAGCTACTAAATGGGCATTGTGGCGAGACTGTATACTTCTTCCAAATGAAGAATAAACCCTCCATCTCTCTAGGAATATTGCATCATTATATCATTTGGATTTCATCTTGTTTTTCATGAAGGTCAAACACAAAACGTGGTCAAAGGCACAGAACTGCACACTTAATAAATGCATTTAATGTACTTAATACAGTACCTCTCTGTGTGACTTTCACATGGTCTGCAATTTTCTCATATTCAGCCAATTCCTGTGAACACATTAAAATAACATCAGTTTGCATTAAGTGTCCACATGACAACTGCAACATCACAATCCCATAACCTTAAAATGTCAGTTGTTATCACTCTATTAGCCTATGACCCCTGTGGCACTGCTGCCAGCTGCGCACACATGTGCGCTCCAATAAAACTGCAGTAAATCCAACAATAATAATAAAAGCAGCATCGTGTACATTAAGTGCTGACGTAACCCTGTGAGTCATAGGCTGCTGTGTCTTTCCCACTTATATACAGCTGCACTTGCACGCGCGCACATGTCGCCTCACCACAATCATGCGCGCTATGTCCTTGCAGTCCTCCACGTTGGCCGCGCGGATCGAGTACTCCATTGTCGTGGTGGGTCTGATGGTGTGATGCTCACAGTGTGGCGGTTCTCCCGTGGGATCCGGACGGATGTAACGTGAAGGAAACAGAACTGGGAGGACTGCAGCTGTACCGGCACACTCAACCTCACCAAATCAGGCTGAGAAGTGAGCTGAGAGCGCCCTCCTGCAGGCAGGAGGTGACCATGGGTGGACTACTGTATGTGCATTAAAGGGGACCTATTATGCTCATTTCCAGTTCTATATTTCTATTGTGGGACAACCCTAGGTTAGCCTTACATGAGCCACAGTCTAAAATAAATCCTTATTTATCTTAAAATAGTGGTTTTGCAGCTCTATGGATCATCTTCTGTCTGAAACAAGCTTTTTTAGCTCCTGTCTCTTTAAGGCCCCCCTTCCCTCAAAGCTCACTTTCTTCTAATTGGCCAACTTCAGGAAGCACAGCTTCTTCCTCTTGCTGGTGTGCTCAATGGCATATGACAGCAGTAAGAGGAAAATAGCAATAGGAGATGTTGAATTTGATGAATTAACTTTATCAGACCACAGACGAGATAAGAATTAGGTTGTTAAAAACAATGGATGCCGACAAAGCATTGTGTGTCTGGTAGGCTCTATATTCAGCCTATGCAAGAGACCTACGCTCTTGTAAGCATTTATATTTGTGCAGGCGTTGCTCTGCAAATAACACCGCCTAAACGCTAGTTGGTGGTGGAGTTTCTATGCCACTGTGTGACACCCAGAAGTCAAATCTGGTCTACTGTATAAAACATGGCGGACTCCATAGAGTTTAGATATAAACGTCTCATTCTGAGGTAACAAACACCTAGTAATTCTTATTATAATAATATTATATTCAATTTCTGCCGATAGATCCACCTAAATGTTACACACTGGACCATTGATCTTTAAAGCATTAGTTACTATGAGTAAAATATAATTTATTAATCCATTACAAAGGTGCTAACTAATTTATTTTTTGGGTTGTTTGCAGTCTATTAGATATTCTATCATATTGTGGCTTGTTTTTTTCTGTGAAGAGAGCCAGGGATGAATTCATTCATGTGCTCTTTTTTTCTAGTGGAAAAATCCACTAATTTGAAATTTGGCTGAACCAGATAATCCCTCACACAAGGCCGTATGCCTTATAGGTACAGTTATGTTTAGGTTTATTTTAAACTATTTGTCCTATAAACTAATGAATACTCTAAGGGCCTAGAGGATGACTTTAAATACTGTCGGCCAGAAATTAACTGACGTGTTGGGCTACTTTCCGATCAAAGTTCCCACTTGACTTGTTACTTGTGTTGCTGTTGACCCTTGATCTTTCACCCAGGGCTGCCATTTGGGGACATTTTCTTATTTGTATATAACATCTATCTAATAGACAGATTACCATGACATTCAGTGAGCACATTTATGCTCCGCACTGGATTAACCTTTTCTATTTTAAGGACTCCATGAGCTTTTTTCCAGTGCCACCCTCAGGCTCAAATTTCAACTTTGCACACAAAATACGTCATTCATTTTTTGAATTAGCTGAGAACACTCACACCAATCCTTTGATTTATTAAACTCCTTTTAACATTTTTTTTTCTTTTCTTTAGGATAATCTTTCCCAAATCAGAAAAGCACAATCATTCTATTTTCTTTCTTCCATCTGCTCCATCCAAGTTTGTGGGCATGTAATAAACATTGCAGCCTCTAGGGGGCCCTAGCAAGGTGCAGTTCAAGTAAATGCATGTCTGTGGGATCAGCAGCCAAAATATTGCACATCCTCCACTGCCAAGCCATAAATACTTTGTTCTCATTAGTCTCATTAGTATTAACTTGTAAGTGGAGCTGCTAAAGATTTAAACAGCTACATCATTTAGCATAATTTCAAACTGCACATGGACATATGATGGACAGTTTTAGAGTAAAATGTAGGCAAAAGGTTAAAATGTATTTAACACTGAGTTTGAGTTATTGCTGTTAAAAACAAGCTGAAGATGAATTTTTATTCATGAACATAAACTAACACACTCTGTCCTCTGTGTGGGTTATTGTGGGTGGGTGGAGGCCTGTTTCCTCTTACTCTTCTTCCAAAAATCACCAACACTAAATACAGCAGAATTTCACAGAAGGTGTCAGTCCCGGGGAGGTTATATTTAGTTAAAACTGCCTGTGATGACGCACAGTGTGGACATGTCATCAGACTGTGAACTTCAGCGCCAGAAATAAGAATGATCTCATGAATTTACAGTGTTTCACACGGGGATAACGGCAAGTCACCAACACCCAGAGCACTAAGTTTAAGGAACTGAGAATGGCTTTGAGAGAAGTAATGCACCGCAAACGCAATGATCCCATGCATGAATGAAGTAATTCAAATTTCATTTTTCTCGTTAGAGTTGGTATGACTTTCCTCATGTTAAATTAATTTCCCCAAATCAAGAGGCAAGTTTGTGGGATTGAAAAATGACATTTTCTCATAAAAAGAGGGGCTGTGCAATCAAAATACCTCATTTATGACCTCATTCTCTGATACCAGCTGCTAAATGATGAGCTTAAGCAGGCCTGTCAGTAAACTTATACCCCACCCACCACCTTAAGGGCAAAGGTAACACTCATGCAAGCCCCTCCCAGTGTCATTTTACATACAGTCATTCTCAGTGCTGTTTGTCTGTTTCACCACAACACTGATGGAGAAAGCACGAGTATAAACACCATATGAGGACATGATGTCTGACATATGATCAATGATCAGTCTTGTGACAATCATAGTTAGGCAGTCAGCCAAACAAATGCAAAAAATGAAAAAATAAATAAATAAAATCAATTAAAATAGAACAAAATTAGTACTAGAATAGTACTAATAAGTTGATATGTAACAAATGTTCCCAACTGGTATTGAACTGGGGATGTTACTATTACATGAAATGCATCTTACACCACAAAGCCAGTGAAACAGCCTAAAAAACATCAGTCTTTTAACTCCAAATGGTGTTTTTGAGACCCATATTGTAAAGCTGAGGCAGTGACGCACGTCCTCAAGCCAAGCTTTTGTGCTTACGCAAAAACAAAAGCCTTCAGGATTTGCATTTTCCATTCGCAGTGTTTCAGTAGAATACAAAGCAAATATATGATCTACAACAGCATTTATGGACTACTTCATGACGTATTTTCATAGCTGTATCTCCTCGCAGAGCCAAGCACCGCAAGTTAATCTTTGAATGAACGTCTGGTTAAAGAATAGTGTAATGATTCTAAGTGAAACCAGATGACACACAAAAAAAGCTGGTTTAGTTATGTGTGAAGTCTGGTTTAAATTAATAATTGATGAAAGATTCAGCAGTCAAATGTCTGGGAGGAGGTTACTGGCAATCCCCAAATTAAGTTTTTAAAGTATACTTCTACAAGTTTAGTGTTTAGAATTTTCAACAACATCCTTATAACTATGTGTACCTCACTGCCTTTGCTTATTTATATGTTGATTCTATACACACGGTGTAATTATACCAATGTGGTTGCTCGGAGTTAAAAATACATTTATGAGAGATTTGTCACAGTACACGGCATTCTGCAGACAGGAGGGTGGGGAGGAAATGAGCAGGGAAAGGGGGATTTTAGCCAGCTCTCTCCTGAAAAAAATAACACTGCCTTGTGGCTATTAATAGCCCCAGCAAGACGGTGTGGCTCTTTAAGGCTGACTAATGGCTCCTTTCATACGACGCAAGCAGAAAAACCAGAGCATTGCCACCGTTTTCATCAGCAGCCGCTGCTGATGACGTGCGTTAGACACCCCTAACGGTTTTCACAGACGCACTTGAGGACTCACAGGCAGCTAGAAGCAGAAACATTGTAGACAATATTAGTCAGTATTGTGAGTAAGACAGAGTGGGGCCTCTCACTGGGATATGAATGTCTGACAAATGCTACAAAAACCCTGAGAAAATGATGGTTGGTGATTTTGGTGTCCATACGTATTTAGAGATTGGTGTTGATGCAGAAGAAGTATTTTAACAGTAATGAGGTTATATTATCCTGTGGTATGTGGGGGTACTGAGTCTTCTGAACGAGGGTGCCTGATGGCGAAAGACCAGAAACACCTCATGACTCCAAGTTACATCACTGATGATTTACCCAATTGTATTACATATATCTCAAAATCATAAAGGTGGTGGTGGTGGTGGTGGGGGGGGGGATCTCCTGCTGAAGTCTTGTTGTTGAATGTTATTGTTGAAGACTTTTTTAAAGACACATCTTAACTTCTTCAGGATGCAGTCTGATACGGTATATGATATGGTGACATCATATATCTGACAAATATGTACTGTAGTATGGTATCCCACTCGCCATAATTGTCATCATTTATTTATGTAGATTTGCTGGCTCAAAGGTGCCCTTTCTCAGAAGCAGTGAGATAAAAAGATAAATGCCACTGACAGTTCACAAGGTGTGCCAGAGGTGTTTCCAAGTGCAGCGGTGTGTGCAAATATTGTTTATTAATGCCTATTAATGTGCTAAAATGTTTAAATAATGGCATAATGTTGGCATAATGGTAGTGTGCTGTGTGTGAGCTGCCTGCAGCGAGGCAACTGTATGACTGACCAGTACATATTCTGCTCCTGTTCAGATAATAAATGGCAACATAAGAAAGACTAAAGCACCTCCTTTCATCATTCTCCACACAACGCGGAGTCGAACGGTTACTCGGACCAGACAGGAGTGCGGTTAACACTGACAGTTTTCAACGTACCAAAAGTGGTGCCAAGTTATTAATCTACCCTAATAATACAGAAGTAAGGAATTTTTACATTAAAAAATTAGCATCATAACACATACTTTTTTCCGGAGCTGATAGTTAGTCTTGTTTTCCTCTCATCTCTGTTGAGAGTTCCACATGCGCACCACTGATTGGGCAGTAGGTGCAGCTTGAGTCCTGACAAGAGGTGCTAACTGTTGGATTTTGTTATCTTCAGCCGGTTTCCACTTGTTTTCAGTCTCTATGTTATGCTAAGCTAACTGGCTTCTGCCTGTAGATGTGCACACAGACAGGAGAGTGGTATTCTTATATAACGCTTTGAAATGTCTAACTATTCTTCTATTATTGCAGTGGAGGTGACCTAATCTTTTTTTCCTTTTCTTGGTCAAA